GTTCAGAACCTGCTGAATACCATCTCTGGCTTAAATCCAATCATTAGATCATTTCTCCTCTTTGTTATGTGAGAAATTAGAGTAAAATTTGCTGGCTGTTTTTGCAGGTGTTCTTTTGAGTTACATACTGTAACATAAAAATGTAACCACATTCCACAGTGGAACTGACACCAATGGCTTCATGGATACTACCTGGATGCCTTATCAATTTCTCAAATCTACAATGCTGGAACCTCCTTATGGCTTTCCTCCCATAATGACCAAGTTTAAGTTCGAAGCCCAGCCTGAGCTCATAGGAATTAGTTCATGGGAATTCACAAAGGAGGGGTGGATTCAAAGCGGTGGAGGGGGGGGGGAGAAGACTGCCACATTAAAGTGCAATCCATTGAGCTGGCAAAAAAGGGTTCCAGCACAAATTCCACTGGCTCCATTGCCAACCCAGCCATTCTGTTGCTGATGATGATTGTTGCTGTCTTTATGCAGGACAGAGACTGGTGGATTCCTGTAGCTTTATTTCGCCTCCCACCGAGCATTATTTGCCAGCTGGAAAAATAACCGCCAATTGTGCTCTTTTAATATGTGGTGGGGCTGGCTGGGTAAATGTAGACAGATGCTTTGAATTGTGGGCTTAGCCACCTTTCAAGTTGCCGGACTTTCACAGTTCTGAATGTGCATCATAAAGCCATGTGCAAAATAACCCAGCGGGCAGATCACAGGTAGGGAAGAGGCTTGTGGGTTGAAGCAGGAGGGATTTTCCCAGTCCTCTTTATTGTTGAGAGCAGTGGTTGCCAACCTGTGGCACTGGTGGTCCGCAGAGAAATGTCACCCACAAAGTATCCCCAAAGCAATTAATCCAGGCTGTGCAGGAACACAAGGCTGCGCCACCCACATGGCCCGCGGGAACACAAGGCTTGTGTCGCTTGCATTGCGAACAACACGAGGTAGTGATGGGAGAAGGGAAAGGGCAGAGGGGGAGGACTTGCCCCACTCACCCTACATGCCTTGCCCGGCCACCAGGCTGCTTCTTTCTGCTTCTTTCTTCTTCTGCTTTTAGCTGCACACAAGGAAAGCAGCAAAAGCTTTTCTTTCTCTTACCCAAACTCTGCCAAAAATGAGTCTTTGGGACCCTGCAAGGCATCCTGCTCCAAGAGGCTGTGCCAGAGTGATAAGCAGGGGTGGGATTCTACTGGTTCTGTCTGGCTCTACAGAACCGGTAGCTCTGAAGAGCAGCAGACACAGAACCTGTTCTGTGTCTGCTGCTGTTTTGGCCCACCTGCCCACCCGGGGTCTTACCTGTCCTTTATTTCCTGCTTTTTCAATCGCAGCTGCTTTGCACAGCACAGCTGTAGTTGAAAAAGCAGGAAAAAAGGGCTTTTCCAACCACTGTGCACTTGCATGCAGCACTGCTCAGCTGTCCAGGCAGCTCAGCAGGTCGTAAATTGCACTCACCCGACTCGCGCGACTCACACATGCGCGTGCAACACAGAGCAACAGAACCTGTAGTTATACCAGTTGGATCCCATTCCTAGCGATAAGACTCACAAAGACTCATTTCTGGTGGAGTTTGGGAGAGAGAAAGACTTTTGCTGCTTCTGCTGCTTTCCTTGCATGAAGCCAAAAGTCTCTCTCTCCCCCTGAGAACGGACCTGGAGACGGTATCCTGAGATCCCAAATAAAGAATGATCGATCGGTAGGAAAACGGGGTGGGGAATTTTCCTACAGACTTTTTGGGGGATTTTCCCAGGATCTCTGGTCTGCGGGATTTAAAATTATGAGTTTGGTGGTCCCTGAGGTCCAAAAGGTTGGTGACCCCTGGCTTAGAGTATTCCTTTCCATTTCATACCAGAGTTCTCGACTCTCTTTCTCCTCACCCATACACACTCAATGGGGAATCACCAGAGTAATGCAAATTATTTCAGAAGTGAAGAGAAGTGAAAGGATGGTTGGAGGAAGCTGGAAAACTAGCAGATGCTCCAAAGCCCCAGGTGGAATCTGACCTGAAAGTGTACTTCTGGCCACAGAGTAGATGTCTCCCGGTTCTCCAGTCATCCCTGGAACAGTTCAGATGATATAAATGAGGGACTTTCCTTCTTCGAGATACTGTATCTTGCCCACATCCTCTCCCTTGTGCTCATGCAGCCTCTTGTTCTTTGTTGCTCAGACAGTGAGGCGAGGTCTCCCTCAACCCAAGAGATCTTATATGAGATGAAGAGCAGGACAGAAGCCTATCCTAGGATTTTCCCCAAGGATAGAGGGGCTTGAGATGCCCAGCCTTCTCTTTCCCTAAAAGTCTTCTCTGGCATCTTTCCTTTCTCCACTTCCGGAGTTCAGATTTTACTCCGATCCCTGCAACTCATCAGCTGCCTGTCTGGAATGAGTCCCCTCCCACTTCTAAACCACAGAACCAAAAGTAAAATAAAGAAATGAATGAACGAAGGAATCCATGCATGCCCGCCATCGTAGTGTACACAAAATGATTGTGCATGATTCAAAACTTTTCCTTTCCCACACCCCACATACTGTCTCTTTTCATCGCAGAGGAAACCCAGAATTGGAGAAGAGGCCAAGATCTGAGAGAGTAAGAAAACTCATGCAGAGTTTTGTTTTGTTTTGACTTCGGCCGTTTCTGAAGCGGTGATTGAGAGCATCTCCTTTCTGTGCAGCACATGTTTTAAAAAAGAGACCTACTGCTTGTGGAAAACAGTGTGAAACCCAAACAAGACCTTTAGGTAGAGAGCCTAATGCAAGTAGTAGCTGCCTCTATGGAAGTCGGTGCCCAATCTCTCCTGTAACCCAAACTCTTTAAGTAACTCATGCTCTAATCTGCAACACTCTTTCATGGCAAAATGGTCATGAAAGAGTGTGCAGATAGGGCAAAGGGAGCTGAGTACATCCTAACTATGGTTATCTGCAGGGCACAGAGGGCAGCAAGCAACGGACATGTGCAACCTATCACAGATTTTTGACTGAATGGCATTGCAATGTCACACCTCAAACTTCAATCCTCTAAGGCCGTGATGGCGAACCTATGGCACGCATGCCAGAGGTGGCACACAGAGCCATCTCAGTGGCACATGTGCCATCGCCAGCTGCTCTTCTGGTTTCTGGCATGCTGGCCAGCTGGTCTTCACAGGCACCAAAGCGCTGGAAAACTGCCCCAAAATCGGCCAAAAACAGGCTGTTTTGGGGGCTTTTTCAAGCCATTTTTGGGGCACAAAATGGCCTTAAAACCACCTGGAAAACAACCCAAAAATGGCCAACAAAACCAGCCAAAAACAGGCTATTTTCAGGCCATTTCTTGACCACTTTCTGGGGCATTTTCAGGTTATTTTTGGTCCAAAATGGCCTTAAAACCACCTGGAAATGGCCTGAAAATGGCCAAAAATGCCCCCCAAAACAGCAAAAAAACCCAAAAAAACAGGCATGTGCACACTGGCCAGCTGGTCTTTGGTTTTCTGGTGTTCCAGCATACGCACATGCACACGTTAGTTTGTGCACTCGATGCCGAAAAGTTTCATCATCACTGCTCTAAGGCATGAGTGTGATGTCATAAGTCACCTAAAAAGGGTTGGGATCGTGATACTGCTTCCATCATGGATTTACTCCATGGGCACTGCTGGAGGCAGACGATGAGACATGCATGACCTCATTGCGTGCATGTCACAATTTGGGCTTCACCCCTGTTTGTGGTGGATGCAACCGATCTCACACCTTAACCACATCAGCAACCCCAGCATCAATGAAGTCTCCAGGGGGGAAACTGTGTCAAAAGAGGGAAGAAGTTGCTTTAAAACCAACACTGTTAAAGGGGACTTGAAACAGCCTTAGCTGCAGAGAAAGGCCGGGGCAACAGGGCAACATGGGGACAAAGAAATTCACACACCATTGGAGAAAGTGAGGACAAGTCCAGAGAAAGCCAGCGAAGGAAGACCAAAGAGAGTCCTTGACTTACAGCAATCCGTTTAGTGACTGTTTGAAGTTATAACAGCACTGAAAAAAAGTGGCTTATGACCATTTTTCACACTTACGACTGTTGCAGCCTCTCCTTGGTCAAGTGATCAAAATTCAACTGACTCCTGCTTAGCAACTGACTCCTATTTATGACGATTGCAGTGTCCTGGGGCCATGTGATCCCTTTTGTGACCTTTGGACAAGCAAAAGTCAAACGAGGAAAGCCGGATTCACTTAACAAACATGTTACTAATTTAACAACTGCAGTGATTCACTTAACAAGTGTGGCAACAGAGGTCGTAAAATGGGGGTGGGGATTCATTTAAGAAATGTCTCGCTTAGTAACTGAAACTTTGGACTCCATTGTAAGTCGAGGCATACCTGTACTTCTCGGAAAATACACAGCAGATACAGCATTATGCTCTTCTGGGGTTCCTATTTAGCTTGTTTTCTTTTCTTTTTTTAATTGATAGTATTCCTTTCCCAAAGCAAGGAAAGGAAGCATTTTATAAAAGATGCCCCACAGCTTCCCCCATATCAGTGAGGGAAACTTCCCAGTTCTCGAAGGGCCTAGCGCCCTTAAATAAAACGACGGAGTGACTTGGCGAGCAAAGGAGAACTCCCTTCCTCCTTCCGTGCGCTTGCCACCCCGCGCCCATTGCCTCCGAAGCCAAGCCCAGGGAATTCAGCCGAGCTCCTTCTCCGCCAAGGGTGTAAGAGCGCACCCACCGGCCAGATATGGGCCACCTTTACAGGCCCTGCTGCTCGCTGAAGAAGAGCGGGACTCCTTTCCCACTCAGAGGATCCGGCTTGAGTAGCCTGGCTGGGAGAGGAGCGCTTGGCAAGAGCGCAGAGCTGAGGGCTGCTGCCGCTGCCGTGGGAGGTGCGTTGGAGGACACAAGGCTCGCCAGAGAAGGAATGTAGAGGCAGCCCAGCGGGGAACAGGGGAGGATGTGGCGGCGCGTGTGAACCGGGACTCGTCGCCGAGGAGAGTTCGGCGGGAGGAGCCCCGCAAGGCCGAGAGGAGGAGGAGGCGGCGGCGGCGGCGGCCGCGGAGCAGGAGAAGGAGGAGGGAGAAGCATCCGCTCGCAGCCGGCCGGCGGGTTTTTTTTCTTCCCTTCGGCTGGACGGCGCGGGCGGGAGGCGCTGATCGTCCCGCGCGGCTGCGCTCTTGGCTAAGCGGCAACTTTGGCCCCCTCACGAAAGTGGCACTCGAGCGCTTGGCGCCAACCACCTCCAAGCCGGCATGAGGCGCGCCGGTCAAAAAGTGGGCAAGGAGGGAGAGGAGCGGACGCCAGGTGAGCAGGAAGGCAACGCCACTCGGAGTTCAAGGGCGAAGGGGTCTCGCAATCCAAATTGGCCTCGTGTCCCGCAATCCAAATTGGCGCGAGTCGCTTGGGGATCGGATGGGACGATTTTAAGGGCGCAGACAGCGAGACAAGAGAGAGACAAGGCGATGCGCCCGCACAGCGATAGCCGTGCGATTTTGCTAGCTTATTTGGGGGGTGGGGGACGAATCGACTCAAGACGGGAACGAGGTGGGACCGTTTACAGACCCCGCGTCGCACAAACGACAGAAGGCATCTGGCCTCGATCCTCGTCCCCTTTCTGAACTTGGTGGACCCACCATTGTGTTCTCCCTTCACGATGGGGCTGGGCACTGGTTTTAAGCTCACCAACACCGATTCCCAAATTCGTTATGTTCCTGGAGGCTGGCGGGGTAGGTGGGTTGAAGACTCCTCCCCCCTTTTAAAAAGTTGCGGTGGGACCCTCGCCCAACGGGTCTTTAATCCAGAGCAGCTTCCTCGGCGGCGGGTTTGTGCGGGGAAGAGACCGAGGAGCCAATCGGTATCTGGGTTAGCGCAGGTCAGCTTGGCCTTTCCCTGTTTCTGATGACCCGACATTCAGACGACACAGTCGGGCTAACCAATTTGGGGAGAGGGGGGGGGGAGATAAACGAACAATGAAAGCAACAGGGAAGATGAGCATGAGATCGTAACACTGAACCGTCTTATCAGCCATTCCCAACCCGACACCTTCCAAAGTGTTGGAATTAAGCCTGGGAATTGTGGGAGGGTGCCAGACGGGAAAATTTTTAATTTATAGCATCAGATTTTAAGCCAGGAGGCATTGTTCTCCTCCCCTGCTTTGGAGTTTGCTTGTGCGTATATTTGGTTAAAACGTTTGTGTACTGAATTTATACCCCGCCTTTCCTCCAGGGCAGCTCAGGATAGTGTACCTAGCATGATCTCCTCAGATATTTGGGCTGGACTGACAGAATACGACTGACTTCAAACTACTCAGAAGGGCAGACTTGAACCCCAGTCTTCTGGTCCTAATTCAACATTCTTTGTAATTGCTTCTGGTATGGTCAGGTTACTGCATTTTCAGGACACCCATGGATCTCCTCTGGGGATGGAATCTTGGAAAAAGTTCACAAAAAGTGGATGGCATTCAGGATAACTGCAGCAAGATTTTAAAGTGGCCATATTAAATAACTCGAAAGAAATGGCTGAGATTCAAAAGTTTGGAGTACAAGGAAGAGCAAAGCAATTTTTAGGAAACAGCCTAGTCTTTGAAATGAGGAGATCTCTATGAAGATAGCTTGTGTGTGTGTGTGTGTGTGCGCGCGCGCACGCGCACACGCACGCACACACATACACTCATTGTGTTCTCGGGAAGTATAATGGAAGAAAATAAGTTGAATATAAGGTGCAATTCTAAAATAATGGTAAATTTAGCAAAATGTGGTAATAAAATATGGGCAGCCGTCCAATGCATAATCTAACAAATGCCATTTGCTTGCAAAGAAGCATGCAGCTGCTATTGAGCCAATGATTGGACAGGCATTTGAAAATTATGTTAGAGGTTGGATTCCGGAAGTGGGCAGGTCCAATCCAGAAAAAAAGATGGAGCCTTTTAAAGGTTTAAGCCTTTTTTGCTTTAAGGTTTCAAGTGAAATTGAATGATAGTTGCTAACAGTTCAACTCCTTTCTTATATAATTAATTATTAAATAAACACACTTAATTTCTTTCCTATTCCAGACTGATCACATTTAAGTCTCTTCCCATTTCAGACATAAAACTGCATAGAGGAACTTTCAGAAGTTATTTGGAGCTCTTTGCTACAAATTAAAGCAGTTTTTTTTCAAGCAATAAAAATGAAGATTCAAAACTTCTGCATACTGCTAGTGAACATCACATATAGGTATTCTGTGCAAGAGAATTTAATCTGATATGCACTCTTGATCTACAAGGAAAGATAATCCAAATATCTATTTTATTTAAACAATTTATATGATCACCCACCTCACTATTATGCCTTTGGATGGAAGTATCCCTCCCTCTCTTCCTTCCTTCCTTCCTTCCTTCCTTCCTTCCTTCCTTCCTTCCTTCCTTCCTTCCTTCCTTCCTTCCTTCCTTCCTTCTTCCTTCTTTCCTTCCTTCCCATATGAGTGGATTTTGCAATAAATACAACATGTTATAAAGTAAACTAAACTGCAACTGGGAAGTTCTGTAGTAGGTTGCTGCAAGAACATCTCGTTGATCGGTTTGAAATGTCATGTCGTATCCCAGTGTCATTGTTTTATCAGACAAGCAGAAACATGCTGAGGAGACAGTTACAGATCATACAAGGTCAGAATATTCACATTACATCATATTTGGCATGTAGAGCTATTTTATTTGTGGACTGCTGTGGGGCATTGTAGCTAGATCCAAGTGACGTCGTCTGAAATAAAATGATTATGGACTGAATCTCGCATAAACGTAAGCACAACACCTTTCTGATAGTAAATACAATAAAGCAGCCATGCCTTTTTTTTTTTTTTCAGGCTGATATGGGATCATGATTTTAATGAGTAGAAGAAGTTTTGAGTGTTCAAGAACTGAAGCACTTCTCCACTTGTTCACTTTCATATTCACATTCCCTCCTGTTCTTTCTCTTCCTCTCTGTCTGAAGTGAAGGACAAGGGAAAAAAATAGAGGGGCATCAGAGAACAGCATCTGGAGTGCCTGGCAAGGATGCTCTTCCTCGTCCTCCTCCGCTCATGATTTCATGGCTTTCTCTGGGTTCAGACTTATGGGAAGAAGGTTTAAAGGACTGCTTTTCCTATTCACTCCCTTTCCCACAATCTCCCTCTTGTAAGGATCCAATTTCAGTGCATCCACCATCTGGAAAGAATATTACTTCAGCTAGACTTCAGGAACATGAGAACACTTTTCTTCAAACAGCCAGGGCATAAATACCCTTGGCTTCACAAATATTTATACAAATCTAAAACCCCCAATAATCTTAACTAAATCACCTTATTTTTGCTGCTATATCCCAGTAATATTGAGCTGCAGTGCATGAATTGACTGGTCTGCTTTTAATTTCCTCTCTTACAGATGATGTAATTTCACTGTTTTCTTGAACATGGAAACCCTAACATTGAGTTTGCTGTAAATTTTGTATTCATGTTACAAGTCCTGCATAGTCTATTTTCACCATTCTAAGTCATGAAAAACAGTGGTACTTAAGCAGAATATGTCTGTCTGTCTATCTACATACCTACCTACCTACCTACCTAACCGATCTCTGTCTGTCTGTCTGTCATCTATAACTTTCTGTCTTTAGGCAGAAATGTGGAGCATTCTAGACATATAACTCTGGGTGCATAAGAGCCTTTTTTTAAAAATATGACAAACATGCACTGGTTGAAGAATTTAGTGCACATCTAAGGGATGACATCTTAACACCTTTGAATGTTCTAATATCAGTTAGATATTAGATCAATCAACCAGTCTCTGAACAGCATTCAAAACAGTCAAATCTACACAAGCCTTTCAGTTTCTAGAGGAGATGCTTGATGGCATCATTACCAGATTGGAAGTCTTCTTCTGATATACATACATGATATATCATAATAATATACATTAGAGCTTCAAATCTGATACTGATATCATCTCTCATAGGTTCATATCCAAAATAATAGAAGTTTCTGTTTTTCCTGGTAGTCTTTCCTTTAGATCAATCATTTCCATTTGTAAATAGCAATCGTTACAATCAGGTGACATGCAACAACAACAACTATTACTACTACTACTACTACTAGTAGTAGTAGTAGTAGTAAAAGCCAGGGGTGATGGAGTTCTAGGGGCTTAAAGATGCCTAGCAGGCTTTATAACAGCATTTCTTCAAGAACCACAATCCAAGAGTAGGCCGAGACAGAATATTTGAGTTTGTGTGAGTGAGTGAGTATGTGCATGTATGTGTATGTAAAGATTTTAAAGGTTCCTCTTATATCCACCTGCTATTTGCTTTAAGCATAAAGTTTATATGAAATGCTTTATTGTTTTGGGCCCCTGGACATGAGTATCTGTAAGAAAGTATTCTCCACATTGCCTCTGCCCGTCCCTTCCAATTTTCTGAGTGAAGAAAGACATGTCTGGAATAGATAACGCCTTGGAGAGGCACATATTACGGACAGGGCTGAAACAAGCAGCAAATGTTGGCTGTAACCCAAAATGGGTGAGGATATTTATCCTCTCATACCCCTCTTTTTCTTCTTTCTGTTGTCTCTCACTCTTTTACAGAAGGGTTGTGAAATTAATATATGGCCATATATGTTACTCTAGGGCTGCAGGCTGATCATCTGTGTATTTAAGGACAAGGATGGAAGGTGCTGGACAAAAGACTATGTATATTACTTTGCCCTACATTCCTTTGATTGGTATGAAATTATTTTTCGTAGAATAGGCAACAAATCAATAAATAATAGATAAAGCTGCCACAATGTGCCAAATATAATGTTGTATTAAATTTATGATTTGGTGTGTGATCTGAAACTATCATTCTAGCATATTTGTGTGTTCTAGAATTGCCCCTTCCAGATCCAGAGGGTGCATCACAGAACTAAGACAGTAAATACTTACATATAATATTGCCTTAAAATGAACCAAAGAAGTTTCTTGATGAGAAGTGAAACATTTTCAAAGAAAGAAAAAGACAAGAAAGTCCAGTTTGAAAAAAAAAAGCACCTCTGAGACAATTATAACCCGGATGATTGAGAATCTCCATAGACCTTGAAAGTACGTGCTTTTTTTCCTGGTGTAAAATGTATCATTTATTGATCTGATTCCTTCTGGGGCAGTGGAGTGGTTTAAATACAGTTGGACTGGAAGTTTTCCATTGTTGTGTTTATCAAGAAAAAAAGCAGGAGGGACTCAATGTATAAATAGGACTATAAAACTTAACAATTATCTGATGAAGATTTGTTCCGTGGTGGAAATACACACTTAGTATTTTATCAGGATATAATCTTATTATCTTGTCTTATTGTTTCTCCAAAGCATTCACAATGCCATACGTGGTTTTCCAACCCATATCTTATCTTCACAATATCCCTATGTAACAAATTAATAAGGGAGATAACGATTGGCTTAAGATCAGCCAATGAGCTTTGAAGGATGGTGGGATTTCCCAAGGTCTACGTAATCTAACCTAACCCCTTTTACCCACAAGCTAACATTAGCTCTGAATTACTTTCTTAGCCTTAGTCCACTGAGTCAGATTATGTTACATAGTGAAATCGTGTATATACTTGTTTTGTTGACATTTAACTGTTCTTATCCAACAGAGGGTTTAAATAAGAGGCTCTCCCATAGTTTTGTCAGGTTCTAGCAATCAGCCTTGCTTTTTTCAACTTGAAGCCCTCCTTGCTGGTTGGAAATTCTTGGAAATGTATCCAGAGTGCCCACATTGGTTTTATGTATTAAATCTGTCTTTTGTTTAGATGATAGAAATGATTCCAGGACAGCCGCAAGTAAAATTCTCCACTGATTTTCTGGCTTTAAATTGCTATGTTTGCATAAATATTAGAATAGTAGCAAAGTGTATTGTGCTTGGTAATTAGTAACTTAGCTGAATCTCCTTTTAAGAACTACTGGGAAAATAGACAGTTGGGATCTAGGAAACTGGAGCTTTTAGCCAAGACTTTGTTGGGAGTTTTTACTGCCACCAGCAACTATATAGAAGAGAGGCAAACTGATAAACAAAACTTTCATCTCTAGGCCAAAGTAGCTTGTTGGCAGGTCCCTTTGTTCCATTTCTGCATTTTTCTCTGCAGTTCTCGTTCCCTACTTCTCCAAACCCTGAGCTTGCAAATAGCATCCCAGGGCTGCCAGTAGCTGAAAAGATATAGATATATATAACCAATTATTTTGTTCTCTTTCAGCAACCAACATTTATCCTTCCAGTCTTGCTATTACCTCCACCTTCTGAGTGCTCTGTAAAGGCTTGAATAGGCAGTTCTAATTATTTAAGGTTGTTAGGAGGCAATGGGAGCCTCCTGTTTATGCTGTTAAAACGCCTGTAGTAGTGCCAACAGTTTGCTCTTCACCTTCAGTGAAGGTGTCTGAGCCAATGATCAAAGAAAGACAATGGCAACCCTCTTTTTCTGCTCAATACATTGCATATTCTCCTGCTGGGGAGTTTTTTCTTTCAATCTCTTTGTGTAATTAGGCTATCTTCTCCCTACAGTACTGTATATTAGTAGGCCAAGAAGGGAAGGAGAGAGAGCCAAGCATCCTTTCCAATAGATGCAAACCTTCCCCATATGCAAGAAGCACTGCAAACTTCTCCAATTTTTTTGCAGCAGGACTGTGCTTAAAAATGAATAGGGATGTCTGCTAGAAATGTGATCACAGCAGGAAGATACTGGTGCATGGGCTTTGTATGTGATGCAGTGGTAAGCAACAGAGACCATGTCAACTAATATTGATGATATTAGAAATGTCAATATAGTACTAATAAATCTGTGTGCTGGCATTGGATGAATGTCCACTCTCCTTTTACCATGGCTCTGATGTTTGTATAAAGGCAACTTCCATGCCAGAGCTGCATATTTCTTCAAAGTCAACCTCTGCGAGTTGCCACCAAATTAGAATTTCTAATATAATAGTAGAGAATAGCTAGATAATAATCATATTTAATTTTAATTATTTAACAAGCCAATGCATGCCTTGACAAGAGCTTTTGGAAGCAAACTGGGCATTACTAACCAGTGCCAGCCTTTCAGCGCAAGAGAAGGATAGAAGTTGTCAGACTGGTTAGGAAATGAGCCTGCTCCAATGCCAAATCTCAATTTTATGTCAGTAGTCTTCCTGGCACACTTTGTCAATTCTCAAGCATGTCATTGGTGGCTCAGCATTTTTGACCTGATTCACTGTTAGTAGGGGAAAATGTTCCCTGGTCAAAAAAACAACAACCCCTCAGTGGCTAAAGAAGTCACGATCCTTGGACAATCTTGTTGACTGAAATGCATTCAGTGGCTTCGAGAGGAAGGAAGAACTGTAGAGCCTGCCTGAGGGGAGTCAGGTGATGCAATAATATGTTGTTGTTTTTAAATGAAGATTGTCCTATTCATCCAATCATATCAAATTTGATAATATGGAGTTGTCATTTTTAAATGACCACTGAGTGCTGTAATAATGGCTTGCCTAATAGTCCATTTCTTTCCTTCATTTTCTCTGGGCTGTGCAAAGTTTGAAGAGGTATAGCTGTTTCTCAAAGCAAAATGACCCTCTCTCTGCTCTAAAGAGCAAAGTGAGAGCTTCCTACAGGTCTGGGGTCCCGTCCCCCCCCCCCCAAGCTCTGGATACATGGTGATGATTATGGTTGAGCCAAGGAAAAACAGTAGCAGTGATTCCATAACATGGAGTATCGCTTTGAGGAAAATCATGGCCACACATTCAATAATGTATTTGCTTATTGTGTTTCATTCTTTACTTTTGTATGATTGGCTTAGATGAGTTTTGCTGTTGGGCAGATTGAAAACATAAGTAACTATGGAAGATGACAATGACCATCTATAAAAGCCCTGTGAAAAAGGCAGGGCAATCCGAACAATAGGTTATCTTTTTGGACTGCATGAATCAGTGTAGGCTTTGGAAGAGTGTATGCTGACTGGGCCTCTTCAGATGTTACATCTGATGTACGATAATATCTGAACTGCTTTCTTAAGACACCTGTGAAATCTAACTGCTGTGCAATTTTCAATCTCTGCTTAATACTGAATAGTCAGCAAAAACCCTAATAAGATGGCCTTTAAATAGATGGATTTTCTAGTTACAACTAGTGTTGCTGTCAAAGCTAATCGCTGGACAGTGATTCATTGCCACACTGTCTGAAGCAGGGTTGTCAAACCTGATTTCATTGAGGGCCGCATCAGGGTTGTGTTTGACCTTGGGTGGCCAGGGGGGGCATGGCCAGGGAATATCAATATCACTCATGTCGGGGGCACCTGTGGTGGCCTGAACGATATGCCAGTGAAAGTGGAGCTCAGGAAGGTTGCACACGGCCCTCCCGAGTTCCGTTTTCGCTGGCGGGTGGCTGCAGGAGGCAGTTGCAGCTAAAAACGGAGCTCAGGAGAGCCGCACACTGCCCTCCTGAGCTCCATTTTCGCTGGCAGAGAAACCATGGGCCGGTCCTTCGTTGCTTCAGGGTGGCCCCACGGGCCAGATCTAAGTATCCTGTGGGTCAGATCCGGCCCGCAGACCATGAGTTTGATACCCCTGGTCTAGAGGATGCTACCAGTGGTGCTGCCCCCCCTTTTTAAATACAATTGAAAGTTTTTTTGTCTAATAAAAGGGAGAGGAAGAGATCAGATCAGGAATGTGCAGAAGAGTGGGAGGTAAGAAACAAAAAGTAGAAGGGAGCGAAATTGTATGGTTCACCAGGAAATATTTTTCCTATGAAGTGAAGGAATTCTATTTCAAGTTCTATGGAACATTTTCCCAGGCAAGGTTTGCATTGGATTTGCAGTCTGTTGCGTATTTAAAATGCCATTTCAGACAGTTGCAGTCAGGACCAGTTCTATAATTAGGCACAGCCTGACAAGTTCAGACAACACATTTTGGGTGTTTTGAAAGGGCAAAACTGGAGGAGTTATGAATTTACTAATAATGCATTATTACTGCCAGAAATGAGATGCCCTTGTGGCATTGCTTCTCTCTTGTGCTCAACTAATTTAACATACCTTGAATTCTAGTCAGATGACTCTGGATTGTGGCAGGGGAGAAGAGAAGAGGATAATATCATCTAATACTGCATTTTAGGCAATAAATATCAAATCAGTGCTGCCCTGTGTCTACAATTGTATCTATATTTTATCTTGTAGCATTGTTTTGTGTGTGTATGTGTATATGTGTGTGTGTGTGTGAAAATCATTGCTTGAAAATTCATTCTTACACTAATTTTGTCCTTTCCTTAATATGTAATAACTTGTCCAGTTTTTCCAACCTGTATGATGATATAATACGATCTTAGCTTTTTTTTGGCACAGTGGCAATGTATTTGATAGGGAAAGTCCTTTATAATAATGGTAGTAGCCTTACCAGTTTGATAATCATCTCCTTTGCCTTGAGGATCTGACTGCTCTCTCTTTGAAGGAGAGTTTCCTGTTCCTGCTTTGTTACAACATGAGATTTGGGAAGTTAAGCCTATTGACTAACATTGCCTTTTACTTGTTTTTAAAGGTCCTGACACCGGAGCCTGAAGATGCTGAGATACAACCAGCTTGGAGAAATCTTTAAAGAACTGCACTCTAAAGAGTGTGGCGTGAGCTCCCCCTGGTGGAAAACTATTAGAACAAAAGGTTCTTGATGTTCAAAGTGCATCGCTCTCAAATTAAGTCATGGCTATTGTCAGCACAGCGCCCCCTAGTTTCTTTTTCTTTCCAGAAAATGAAGCCGTGGACCCAGTGATAGTACTTCATTACAATTATACTGGAAAGCTTAGCCGTGGAAAAGAAAAAAAATTGACCATCATTGCACTTCTCATTATCTGTGGCTTTATTATCCTGGAGAACCTAATGGTGCTGATTGCCATCTGGAAGAACAATAGATTTCACAACCGCATGTATTTTTTTATTGGCAACCTGGCCCTTTGTGACCTGTTGGCGGGAATAGTTTACAAAGTGAACATTCTGATGTCAGGAAACAAGACCCTGACTTTATCTTCCAGGATCTGGTTTGTTCGGGAAGGCAGCATGTTTGTGGCGCTGGGTGCTTCTACATTCAGCTTGTTAGCCATTGCCATAGAACGGCATTTGACCATGATTAAAATGAGGCCATATGATGCAAATAAAAAGTACAGGGTTTTCCTGCTTATTGGAACGTGCTGGCTTATCTCTCTCTCTTTGGGAGCTTTGCCCATCCTTGGCTGGAACTGTATTGGCAATTTAAGAGACTGCTCCACTATTTTACCACTGTACTCCAAGAAATACGTGGCGTTTTGCATCATTATCTTCATAGCCATCCTAGTGGCCATTGTAATCCTCTATGCCCGCATTTACATCTTGGTGAAATCAAGCAGCCAGAATGTCACCAATCACAACAACTCGGAGAGATCCATGGCATTGCTGAGGACCGTTGTGATCGTGGTTGGGGTTTTCATTGCCTGCTGGTCTCCCCTCTTCATTCTGTTGCTGATTGACGTGGCCTGCAGAGTGAAAGAGTGCTCGATTTTGTATCAAGAAGATGGCTTCATAGCTTTAGCGGTCCTCAATTCAGCCATGAATCCGGTCATTTATACGCTGGCAAGCAAAGACATGCGCCGGGCCTTCTTTCGCCTGGTGTGTGGTTGTCTGGTGAAGAACAATGTTGCCATGTCTTTGCCTATCCAGCCCACCCCGGATCAGAGTCGAAGCAAATCCAGCAGCAGCAACAACACTCCAAAACTGAATGATGACTTTCTGAAAACAAAAAGTTTGTCATACATCACTGAAAAGAATAAACCTCCATTTTATAATGGAAACGTCTGCAAGTGAAGTTTGCTGACTGGGCACTTCAAGGATTCTTGTCCTGTGGCTTTTACAGAGCCAAAGAGAAAGGGGTGTTTTTTTTTAGTGGAGTTTCCTGCATTTAACTCACAGGAGGGGCAAACTTGAGACAGCTGCTTAATTCGAAGTGCCTATTTTGAGCACTGAGTTTTAGATCTCCAACCAACTGATTCAGGAAATGTTTGGGTGCCTCTGAAAGTTCCTTTGAGGGTTGTGTAAAGAAAAAATATGCTACCCCTGACATTGCCTTCTTGATGCAATTCAACTGAAAAAGTGTACTTACTAGAGAAACAATGTGGAAATGGCCGCTGATTACTCTAAAGCACTACATGAAATTCACTTCTTATGTTCCAAAATGCAACTGTGGAAGCCCTGACAGGACCCCAGCAGAGTCTTCCTCAGCCCACATCCGTCTAGAATCAACCTTTAGGATTTAAGAGTGGGTCTGGACAATTGAGCATTATATGACTGGCTTTCTCTTCAGTAATAGAAACACTTATAAGCATTCTGTGATGTTCCAGTAATTCAGCAAGCAGTCTGAGGAAAGGGCAAAAGAATTTCATGGTGATGGCTGGTCAGTCAGCTGCATATGTGTACAAAATGCCCTTCTCCACTGTTACTGTTCATTGGCTGTAGGAGACAAGACTGTCCCTCTCTATCCTGCAGTGTAAGGTGAATAATATAGGAATATTTTATCCAGGCTGCACTGTTGTTGAGTTCTGTTAACATTTTCACAAATATTTATTCACAGATTTTGAGATTTGTTATGTCAAAAAATCAGGGCTTAAGTTAGAATGTGGTGGTTTATTTTGATAAACAGTCACAGGCCCAGCATTTGCTATGTTGAAGTACACCGAGCAAGGAGTCCTAGGGGGAAAAAAGGGGGGGGCGGATTTTAAATTGAGGCACCAATTTTTGTTTTTCTTTGTATTTGTTTTTCTTTTATTATGCCTGCTGTGTGGCATAGGTTTACATTATATGGCATTATAATATGCTAGTCTGTATAATATAACTCTTCAATGTAACGAGTACTGTGAACATGTAATCTTCAAATATTTTTTAAGTAAATGAAGAAAACAACTTTATGTAAGTTTTGTGAGACAGAAAATAGATGCTCGATTAATCCAGTAATCAGCAAACTTCCAGTGCAAATGCAGCAGTTGTGAACGGAAGCCATTTCTGTGTTATTCTGTAAAAAAAAAAAACATAATCATTGTTTTTCACTAAAATATTTTTTATTATTATTTAATGTAGTTCAGTGATAAAATTAAAACCTGTGACTTGGAATTTCATGTATATCACACACACACACACACACACACACACATGTTTTGATTTTTTTTACTATTTGGGAAGAATGTTACAGATTGAGAAATTGGTCCATATTAGGACAATTGTGATTACTTAGGCAAAGATATACAAATCACAAATCATATTTCACTGTTGAAGGTCAACAGTGAAATATGATTTGTGATTTGTATATCTTTGCCTAAGTAATCACAATTGTCCTAATATGGACCAATTTCTCAATTTGACCTTCATTGGCAGTTATATCTAGACTCAAATTGAAATATCTTCATTACATTGAAATCCTCCTTGTTGGGGTCTTATACATTAATCTATTCTTAGGCTTATGTGCCTAAGCCCTTGATATAAGTAGTCCTCGCCTTACAATGTTTCATTTAATGACTGTTCAAAGTTACAACAGAATTGAAGAAAGTGAATTACAACTGATCCTTGCATTTATGACCATGACAGCATCTCTACGTACTGTGATAAAAATTTGGGCACTTTGGCAGCCACAATGTCTTTTATGATGGTTGTAGCATTGTGAGGGTTATTTATTCCCAATTTTCCCAGCCAGCTTCTGACAACAAAGTCAAGGGGGGAAGATGAATTTCCTTAATGACTGCATGATTCACTTAACTGCAGAGATTGCTTAAGAACCATGGCAAAAAAAAAGGGTTGTATAAAATCAGGTGTAACTCACTGAACATCCTTGCTTTTTAGCAATGGAAATTTTGATCCCTTATTGTGGTTGTAAGCCGATGATTCCCTGTATATACTCTCTGCTTATTTTGGACTTAAGTTTTGTTTTTCTCCTCGTTGCTTTGTTAATTGATCCGGCCTATTTTTGTCAAGGTCATGTTCTTTACTCTTTACACTGGTACAGCTCTTCAAGAGGCTTAAATATTTCCTTAAATATATGTCATAATGAATTGCTGTTCCACAATCCATCTGGCAAATATAATCTTTCTCAGAGAAATGTTGTGAATTGATAGAATTGGCCGATTTCATGGAGCCTGTTTCAAAAAATTTGTCAGGGGAAAGTAAGTGTGATGTCTGAATTCTTCCATAGGAGTAGATCCATCCCAGTCTGCCTATCAAATCATAAAGTAAACAATGAACCAAGTCCTGGCCATGCCTGGTGACCACTACAGATCATACAAATCGCTTCCGCTATGCAAGCATTTCATATTGCTTGCTTGCCAAGAGGGAGATCTGTGTGCTATTCCTTCTGAACATATCTCTTCTTTAGATGGGTTCTTTTGGGAAATAAAATTAACAGTTATACAATACAAATCAAAATGGAAGAGCAAGAAACAAGCCTTTCTCTTTCCAAACAATGACAGAAAAATGGGGCAGGAAGGGTGAGAGCAGATAAGACTGTCAAATACATCTTGAAATGCTAGCAAGGAACAGGAGACTGTTTGAGTCAGTCCTTTTCCTAAAGCCAAGTGTGTCCACCCATCCATCTGCACAGCCCACAAAATGTCATGAGCAACAGCTATCCTGCAGGAAAAGGGTGGCGGGAAAATGGTTCTGGCTTTCTGCAGTCAAGCCAAGGCTGCAGTGATAGATGAGATGCAAAATAAAACTCATAGCTGATTTTCTAATGAGGAGGAGAAATCCTTTAGATCAGGGGTCTCCAACCTTGGCAAGTTCAAGACTTGTGGATTTCAACTCCTAGAATTGTTCAGCTGGCTGAGGAATTCTGGGAGTTGAAGTACACAAGTCTTGAAGTTGCCAAGGTTGGAGACCCCTGATCTAGCAAATACCAAGATGTCAAAATCCTGCATTGGTCGGATGTCATCGTTACTCAGGATACACTTACCAAAGGAATATTTCTCACTGGTTCTTCTTCTTGTTCCTGAGCAACAGATTGGATAATTTTTATCATTTCATGAAGCCTTCCTGAACTTCTCTGCTGCAGTACAGTGTCCAAGCAAACTTATTTTACAAGAAGCTCTTGCTTTATTTATTATTCATTTTTTTAAATTAGGCTTACATCACAGCTTTCCTCTGCAAATCCAAGGCATTATACATAGGGGCCCCTTTTCCCATGTTGTTTCTCCACAATTTCTTTAGGTGGTCTGAGATATGACAACTGTTAACAAATTACTAAATAAACTTCCATGGTTAAGGATAGACTTGACCCTGGATCTCTGATCCTAGTACAACACCTTAATTACTACACCTTACTGACTAAAAAGTGTTTAGACCAGGTGTCTGCAACCTGCAGCTCTGGAGCCACATGCGGCTCTTCCAGCCCTCTGCTGTGGCTCCGTTTGTTGATCGCACCCCTGGCTGGCCCCTCCCGTCCCTCCCCATCCCTCCTCGCCTGGACTGAGAAGGTAAGGGTGATGGTGGGGGAATGGAGACTCGTTCCATATTTCAGAGCAGGAGGTGACTAAGTAACAGTGAGTGATGTCGAGTTGGCCACGCCACCTAGTCACACCGGTTGTTAAATTATTGGCTCCTGGTGTTTTCTGTGGGAAACAGGTCCAAATGGCTCTTTCAGTGTTTAAGGTTGCAGACCCCTTATTTAGACCATTTGTTTTCTGCCAGTTGTAGAGCTGGCATAAACAATCTGCTATCATCCAGATGCTTGGAACTAATTTCATCATTCTCAGCAAACACATTCAATGGTCAAGGATACTGTGATCAAAATATATGGAGGACATCATGTTGCATAGCTTGTTCTATAACTGTTTCAGGCCAAATTAAAACTTCCAAATATAAAAAATGTACTTTGCATTTTATAGACTATGCATTATATAGTCAACTGGCAAACTGTAGTACTAAGTCTAACTTGAGATCATTATTTGATTGGCAATGCTGAATGAGAAAGTAATAATTATAAATCAGTACTCCATCCAGATTTGGTTTGAGAATTGGATGTGATACTTTTTAATGTCTTTCTGATACTTTTAATGTCTGGTTTGGAACTGTTTATTTTGAACAGGAAAATACATATTTTGGGAAGTTGGGGAGAAGAGTTGCTAGCTGACAATGATCTTGCATTCGAAGTAATGTTTCAATAAAATAATATTAAATCAGATATTTAGAACAGCTACATTACATTCTTTAGAATTATACTTACTTGAAAGATTTGGTATTTTGAAGAAGAGCTCCATAATTTTTACTAATGGGTTCAATTTGTGAGTTCTTACCTTCCCATCCTGTTCAGCCAAATGATTTGTGATCTTAGATGACAGAGCTGTAATATTACACATCTGGAAAGTATAAATTTGGAGAAAACTGTAATATTGCATTTGCACACAATTCTAAGTATCCATTTGATATGTCACCAGGACAAAGTAATTATCAAGAAAATGTATAGATAAAAACAGATATGATTTTTTATTTTTAATGAAAAATTGAATCTTTCAGATTTGCAGTTTGCTGAAATTGTGGGCAGGAAAATCATGTTTTCTATATTTAACTCCGTCCCGTTCAAAAGCAGCCAAGAGTCTTGTTTTATGTTTTTCTTTCTTTTTTAGAAACTGCCTAGGATGGTTAGCAGCTGTTCTTTGTGAAGTGACTTGAATCATAAGCAATGTTTCATCAGTCTCCAATTTATAAGTCTCTGTAAGAAATTATGTTTTTTTCTGAAAGAAGTTGGAGACAAAATACCATTGTTCAAATGGTAATATAGCTCATGAAGAGACCACTTTCTGCCAGCTGGACTGCTAGTAAGGAGGACTGTTCAGTTATCTTCTCCAGATGTTAGTTTTCCAAACTAGAAATGGCTTTTTGTAAGATTTGTTTAATGTGACCTTGCTACAAATACATAGCATAAAGAGGTAAATATTGACATAGAAAGTAAAATCTTTTTTTTTTGCTTCCATGGTTTCTGGAATGATGAGATATAGAGAAAATACAATGCAAAAGTAGCTATAGATATAGAGAAAATTGCATTTGTTTTAAAAGTACAAAGTCTGGGAATTGAAATTCCAAAAACACAGCAGACACTTATAATTATCTTCTTAATGGCAGCCATTCATAAGACCAATGCATGGTATAGATATCCCTGCCTCAGGGATCTGATTAATCCACCTAAATTAAATTAATATATTTTTTCTTAGGCTATTATTTTATGCAGCTATTCCAAAAAGAACCCTTGAACTACATGCTTTTAAGGTGACAGAAAATTCTTTGTTGTGTATACCTGAAAGAAATGTTAGTCTTAGCTTTGTAAAGATGAATTTCAAAATGCTTCAGTCCACTTAAGTCAGAACTCACTTCCAGTAACAAATACCTCTAGAAGACCCACAGGCCAGGCGTCAAAGATCAAATCCACACATGAAGATCCAGTTAAATTGATTTATTGCTAATCATGCCTATGCATAGGAATCTTCTCAACCAATGGTTAGCATCTCCTTGGAGTTAGATAAGGGTCAACAGAATTCAGGGAAGGTTGGACTTAGTTCACTTGTGCCTACATAGGGATTCTAGGCTGATCCCTCTTTTAAATCTGTCCCCAGGTTCTCCCACTCCCTAAAGATTAGAGATTTAATATTGCTTCCATTAAAGGAAGTATTGTCAATTAATGTAATTTATAGATCAAAATGTCAGAGCAGCTGGCTGCAGACATTGGAAAAAGCTAAATGGGTTGCTCCTTGGATGAGAAACCACCAAAAACTCTCTAGGCCAGGGCGTTTTACTGATTTGGGGGTGGGGATGTGGTAATGAGGCCATCTATTTAATAGCTATATGAAGCCTGCTGAAGACATAATAGTTAATTAATAAAGAAAATAATAAAGAACATTATTATCCTATCCTCGTAAGAATTTGGATTACTCTAATACAAATTTACTTCATAATTACATTTATTTATATGTTCTAAATGTAATAGAAATATTAAAAAAAAATCCCACCACACCCCAAATTATGAAATTAATTGCTCTGACGATTTAAACAAAAGCATTGAGTTGGTTCAAATAATGAAGGATAAGCCTATTGACAACTATAAAATAGAAAGTCACTCTTGACCCGATACTGTATACCCTCAATTAGATTGTGGCAGGTTGAAGATATCTGGAATTTAACTACCAGAATTATCCAACCAGCATGGCTGGCCATGGAATTCTGGGAGTTGAAGTCTACACATCTTCAAGTTGTCAAGGTTGAGAAAGCACCGCTCTAGCCTGTAGGCAGAAATCTACAGTCTAAGCTGTGGACTAGGCTGGAAAGTTTCAAAGTCCAGAAGGTGATAGTGGCAAATAATTTCTGTGTTGTTGCCAAAGCCACAATCTCCCCTACTACAGTCTCTCCTTCCCCCAACTACATATGCTTCCCCCACACCCCAAGCATTCTTGTAGAAAAAATGGGCACATAATTTTATACCTGACTGCAAAAAAAGAATTACATGTCTAATAAAATCTTGATATTGAACACTCTTTTATTAAATAAGTAATTTCATACAGCATATTAATAGAAAATTCAATGCATGTACTTCATACACAGATCACATCAAGTCAAAGTCAAAACAAATTGCAAACAATCTGGAGTAGTGTTATATACGAACCAAAATGAGACACCTAAAGTGTGGGGAAATGATCATTTGCTTGAGAAACAAGAATGTGTTAAAAAGTTGATTCAGGATAACATTTTCTGTTGGAATTCTATCTCACAGAGTCATTTTCCTTTATCTGATGCTTGTTCATTGCATTTTTTTCTGTTTGCTTTCTACTATTGTGCTTATATTACATTTCTACTATTACCTTTTTTTAGCTTTAATTTTCTAAAGGAAACAAGGCTTGTGACACTTACATTCTAACTTCACAATCATACACTACTCAGATCTTTTCTTCTGCTAAAACTGCGCTGAAGAGTAGAAAAATGGTTGTTGTCTTCAGCAGATTGACTTCAAAAATATAACTATCTACCATGTCTATATAGAATGGGACATGTGTGTATGTACACAAACAGTGTTCCTGTTAAGGAATGAGAACACTTTGAATAAAGACACTTTTCTGAATATCCTCCCAAGCAATGTTTTTTTTAAAAATTGCTTCCCTATTCCGAAGTCCTAAAAACATTATTCTAGTCCCCTGCAGAACTGGTATTTCTTCGGCCTATAGAAACCTCAATGGATGATGTTGTTTTTCTATAGACCTACAGCTACATTTTATTTCTGATTGTGGTTTGTTGCACATCTCACCAGCCACAGGGCCAGTCACTGGTTTTTTTCAGCAGGCTGTTGGAGGCAGAGTTCAGTTCCAGAAGAGACAATGGGTAAATTGTACTCAAGATGATGCTTGATCAGGTGGCCAATGCTATCAAAGGTACGATCCTTCGTACGAATCTGAAAATAAGAAAGGACATGCGATCATATCATTTGCCAGATTTAATTATGCTTAACTTAAGGTCCAAGCAAGGTGTAACAATTCATTCATATGAATTTGATAGGTATGGCAGTCTGGAAAATTATAAGGTTTGGAAAATCAGACTGGGAGAAGACCAATGAAAAAAGTGAGGGATCAACTTCAAAATGAACCTATTTCTTTGGTCTATGCCTATTTCTTTAACTGCCATGCTTGATTTTACTAATCTAAAGACCAATATAAAAATATTGTACAACAGTTGTGAAAATGACTACTTTTTAATTTTTAGTGCAGATTTTTAATGTCCAACTTATTGATGTACATAATGAGCAAATACATGGATCACATTGTGAATGAGGAGACTAAAGTTAAATTGAAACACTGGGATATTCTTTAAGAGCTCAGATCTAAGCTTAGGAACTGGAGTATTTAACAGTTTTTTGAGCAGAAAAACCTGAATCGTACTTCTGAAATGTGGCATGTTTCCTCTCTTTATGAAGCTTCTCCCTGCTTTGCAACCTCAGCTTAATATAGCCTCATTGATGTGGTGAGAATAATCTTTGACTGTCCTCTGCTGTTCAAATATGAAAGTTGCACCTATTATTTCTTGGTTCTTCAACAAGAAGCAGAGACCAGCCTATAAATAAGTAGAGAAATTTAGAGCCCATAAAAAGGGTGATGTATCCTACTGAAGTTTTATTGGCACTAAGGATTATACAGAATCATCCATTCTACTTCAAATGATATCAAGACCAAAAAATTTTTCCCCCTGCTCTTTCCTGGTGAGAAAACAATTCCCTCCTAAATGAAGGATGATCCAAGCCATATCAGAGATGGCTTCCAGGGAATGTGGTTCAATAGGTTCATATGGAAAGTTACTCAGTTTTGAAAGAAATTGGCTGGGAACCAGAAGTAGGTCTGCTGGTGCATTCTCGGAATAGAGACTTATTTGCAAATAAAACTGATTCCACAAAAAGAACCAACAGAGTTCTTTCCCTGTCAGAAGAAAATTATTCCATGTACAATCTAGCTAGTGATGTTGAACACTCGAAATGAATTTGATACATATGTCAAAATCATGTCATCTGACACATGAATTGCCAAATTGATCCAACACATTACATCAGTTTATTTGTCTCTAGATTGCTTTGGAGAGGTTCAACCACCTTTCAGGCCTTAATGAGGCCTTAAATTGGACTGCAACTCTTCTTCCATATATATGAAAGAGTTAGTGGAGCAGGTGGCTAAACTTTATGCTGAGTTTTCTCATACTGACTGGGAAATCTCTTCACAAACTTTGCCTTCAGACATGTAGGAGAACCATGTAGGTTGCTTTGCACAGGAACACTTTTAGCAGCCAGAAAATGGCATCTGGTTCATCAGATTCAAGCCTAAGATCAGGGCAGGAGTCCAAACTTTACATCCAAAACCTGGAGCAAAAGAGAATGACCTTATTCTTTGCAACATCTTCTCAAGTATTTGAAGAGTGTTAACATATCCCTCCTCAGTTGTTCTGCAAGCAATCATCATCGGGCTTAATTTTTAGTATCCTGATTGTTCCCTTCTCCAAGCCTCTATCTTAAAACATGTAGACCAGAACTGGACAAAGTATTTCAGGCTGCATCTCACCAAAGCACATTATGATAGAATGATTGTGTGTGAGAGAGATTTGGAAATGAAACAAAGAGAAAAGAGATAATTGGATGAAGAGTGGACTCTTGCAATTTTTAAGATCTTGGTTATTTCATATCTGTCCCATAGAAGGCTCCCCTTGCCAATAAACCATACCAACTAGCCCTGCCAGCCAAGTAAAGAACTGGGTTGTGTTTTTTTTTAAAAAAAAAGGTTTTATTTTTAAATTGGAATATAATATTCTTTGTGGTGGTTTCACACAACTGTATTGGCTTTTGGATAGGCAATTTGGGGTTATTAGGCTGCCTTGTCCTTCTCTTGCTGTCTTACCTGAAAAGAAGTTGCAGGGGTAATGTCTCAAAATATTATTGAGGTGAAATCCTTCAGTTTATTAAGCTGAACCTCTGTAGTGTCACTCTCCCTTAAAGATCTCTCCCCCATTTCATTTTAATCCCATTTGTTTACCCTCATGAAAAAGTTGCAGATATTTTGATGCTTATGGTTGAAACTTTTATTGACTCATATCTAGATGAACTGAATTGTACTGCCTATGAATTTCAGAATAAATCAAAATGAATCAAATCACGCAACTATTGAATCTCAGGTTTTCGATCTGAATTAAATTGGGGCTGATTTGCACACACCGAATCCTTATGAAGCTTCTGGGATGGTATCCCTCAAGAAGCAGGAGTGGGTTTCATCAAGCTGAAGCATCTCTTCAAAATTGGCCTGGTCCCCAAGATAAGATTCTCTATTGCTATGGATATCCTACTGCATCCTCACAAGTTAAGTGTGAATCAGTCTGTTTTAATGATGAAAATGGATAGTGTAGAAGGCTGTGTCTCTACAACCTAAAATAAAAGAGGTCTTCTCTCTCCTTAGGATCACATACTTACAACTCCTTCAGGATCTACCAACAGAAGATGTTTGGCCTGTCCATTCTGTAACCCAGTGAGGACATAGGATCCTGGATTGGAGGTACTTTTCCTAACCAGAAAGTCTCCACTTTTCTTTAAGAGATGTTCTGCTTCTTTCCTTGTCATTTCTCCTTGATACCAGGGCTCAACGCTCAGTTCTTCAGCTACAGCTGCCCCACATGCTCTGGACAGGAGAGGACTGGTACATTCAACTGAGGTAGCTTTATTTAAAACAGGCCCAGGCATTTGATTCTTGAGAGCATCTTCAAAAGGGCCTGTAAACAGAAGAAATAACAGAAAGAAATTAGCAACACAAGTAGCCCAGCAATCATTTTATGCCATCCAAATTTCTTAATTTTTCTGTATACTGTAAAGAGGTCTAGATAAATTGCACCTACTGTTCTCTTCGACTGAGACAAAGGGGTTTTAATTCAGCTTAACTTGCACTGGTTGTTCTACTACATGTCAAAAACCTCTGGACTTTTATAGTTAATTCAGTTGGGTAGAAAAGAAATTATACTTAACTTTTTTTTCCAAAACTAAATATATTTCAATACAATTTTTATGAATAACATTAGCACGTTTCTGTATTAATTTAGTTAAAAGGTGATCAAAGGGCTCCTCAGATTAAAAGTTAGGTCAAAGAGAAGCTGCAGGGTGATGGAGTAATATGTAATAAAAGAATAACAGCAAGTCTATTACCTTAGCAGAGGAAATAAAATTTAAAAAGCAAGAAATTCCTAAATATTTTCAAGCATCACTTTCTGGACACTGCCTAACAGGAAGGATAAGAACTGAGGTCCAATCTCAATCTGCGGTCCAGGAGAATCTCATGATTTTTGGTATTCAAAGCCTTGAAGAATTCAAGAAAACTAGTCATATATATTTCTATCCATTTTCCAGCACAAGTCATTCCCTAAGGCAATTTAATTATCCAAGCAAATGATAGCCCATCTCTTCACATAGTCTATTCCTATTGTTAGGGATATACACCCTAGCAGAACGTGCAACGGCAGTCTAGCAGGCAGGCAGATATGTGAGATAAAAACGTTGTAGTAGCTTACACTCAGTAAGACAGATACACTGTGCAAGTTAAATAGTTTTTTTATTCCAGCAAGAGTTATAGCATAGTCAAACAGTCCATACGTCATACACTAAGTTCAGTCAGTCCGGGGGTTATTCAGTTTGCAAAGTCCAGTGTCGAAAAAGAGTTCATTAAACTTACAATATCAGTCCAGTGATATATCTCTTTTGCAGTCAGAGATATGAAGAAAAATCAAACCCGTTTTCTTCTCTCAGCAAACACGCAGTTATCACCATCAATCCATCATTGTCAGCATTCCAGTAAAAGCCGGGCAAACAGTGAGCTCTCTTGCTCCCTCTTATGGTGATTTTACAACCGCACCCAAAATACTTGGTTTACAGTTTAAAGTGATACATACACTTAAACTCACTAACATAGTTTATATATATTATTTTACCCAAACTAAGTTAGGTAACCAATGTTATCCCTAACACCTATCAAGGGAGGGAGGGAGGGAAGAAGGAAGGAAGGAAGGAAGGAAGGAAGGAAGGAAGGAAGGAAGGAAGGAAGGAAGGAAGGAAGGAAGGAAGGAAGGAAGGAAGGAAGATAAAATGGGCTTGCTGGACCCAACCATCTGGACAATTTCCGTCCAGACTCCAACCATTCCTTTTTAGAGAGGAAGGTTAAGCTTTAACTCCAGAAGACTCTCAAGAAAAAGATTTATCCTGGTTGTTAAAGTCAGGCTTCAGGCTGGGGTTCAGCATGCAAATAGCATGCTTATTGATGACTTGTCACAAAGTCAGGATGGAGGAACATGCTCCTTGATCTCTCAGCAGTACTGAACATGCTATTCTTTTGGATCAGCTTTAGGCTTAAAAGTGAAAGCATTGTACAGAACATACAGAATAAGAGTTGGAAGGGACTTTGTAGGTCATTTAGTCCACTCCAACCTCTTGCTCAAGGAGGCCTATACCAAGGCCTATACCATTTCTGACTGGGATGTCCAGTCTCTTCTTGAAAGCCTTAGCAATAAAGCACCCACAACTTCTGAAGGCAGGCTTTTCCCTTGGTTGATTGTTCTCACTGTCAGAAAAATTTCTCCTTATTTCTATATTGAATCTGTCCTTGATCAGTTTCCATCCATTGTTCGTTGTCTGACCTTCAGGTCCTTTGGAAAATAGGTTAACCCTCTCTGTGACAGCCCCTCAAATATTGGAACACTGCTAACATGTCACCTGAGTTCTTTCTCTTCATTAGACTAGTCATGCCCAGTTCTTGCAACCGTTCTTCATATGTTTTAGCCTCCAGCCCCCTAATAATCTTTGTTGCTCTTCTCTACACTCTTTCTAGAGTCTCCATATCCTTTTTATAGTGTGGTGACCAAAACTGGATGCAGTATTCTAGGTGTGGTCTTGTTAAGGCTTTATAGAGTGGTATTCACATGAATGTTTCACAGTAGTTCTCCTGCTTTCTATGTGACCAAATTCAGTTAAAATTGGAATGTTAAATTAAATTAGAACATCAATGTAAATTGCTCGCTGATTATTTCTGTGAGTCCTAAAGTGAAGATTATCACTGCTTCACAGCAGGTTTAAAGCAGCAAATGACTGGAAGTTCAATTAATCCATCATTTCCTCCCTGCAGAACAAATGGCAGCCTTCCTGCTCAGCTCCCATTTGCTTTTCCAAAAGCAGATAGTCAAAAATAGTTGACTGTTCAAAAAAAGCAGGAGGAATGTGAACATTTGGTTCAAAATAAAATTTTTTAGCAATTGTTGAGGAAGTTGAATCATGTCATAATCTTATTAGCCAATAAGTGTCCATTCTGAATCTCTTTCCAGGATTGCACTTTTCAATCAATATACTGTATAATGGTGGTTATAAAATTGTTGACCACTTAATAAATTCTAAAAAGCAAAAAAAAAAAAAACAACGATCATCTATTTCAAATTAGATTTTAAAAAGATGGTAAGATGAACTTACTCATGTCAAAAAGATCTTTTCCTGGCCTGCTGTCTTTGGTGCTTTCTACTTTTTCAGTAAACAAATTTTCAGCCTCTGTCTGAAGAGCATGTAGAGTTTCCATATTGATATGTCGTGTATTCACATACATGGGCATCATCTCTTTTGATGGATCAACATTGGATTTTCCTTCTGGCATACTGTAGATGTCCAAAGACCCTGTGAAACCAATACATCCAATGAAAACTAATATATCCCAAATTCAATAGTTCATTTTGCTTCAATTCTAGAAACTCAATTTTTCACTCTTTCTCCATTATGTAGAATTCATTCTGCATCATTGTTGACCATGTCATCATTCCAATAGTATTTTTTCCTGTCCTGTGAACAATCAGACTTGTGCAGTTTTTAAAATGTTTGTTTCAATGTTAATTTTATAACCTTGTTTTTCTCATTTTCATATAGTAAAATAGCATCTGGACACAAAAGCCATACAAATAGATAAGATTAAAAAATAGGGGAAACTGTTAATAATTCTTGTCCCCTACAAATACAGCTAAATGTAATTATTATAAATCACTTAAAGTCAGTTAATAGCAATTCATCTGAAATACCACTGCTACTTTTAGAAGAATACAATAAAAGTGACAGAGGCAGACAGCAGGAAGTTTTTAATTAATTTTGGAAAGTTTCTTTGCTAAATAAAACAGACTTCAAGTAAATATACAGGCAGATTTTTACAGCAGAGAAGAACTCTGCTAGATATGTTTGATAGCTAAAGAGCCATAGTGTGAAAACAAAATTTAACCAAGATAAAAATAGAAAGCTCTTCTAACACAATATTCTCTAATTGGTCAATGACAAAAACCCACATTGCTGGGATTCTCACATAAACTACACGAATACATTATCATTTCCGAGGTACTGGAAGAAACTCAAAGTGACCAATACCAGCTAAAGAACTAGCATATGTGATTTCACATTGTGTGAATACTAATCATAATAGTAATAATCACAAAATATAAAGAGGTGCAAATAGAAGAATGTGACAAAAGAAAGTAAAGATTGTTCCAATATTAAAAGGCATCACTTGAACACCATCAGCAATGACAAAATCATGATTAGTCAATTAATCAAAGCAACTTTACCTGGAACATCTTGCATCCTACAATGATACCTTTAACACCATCAAACATCAAACTAAATAAGTAGATAAAAATGCTGAGCTTGTTCAGTAACACCAATGTCAATGCCAATAGTGTTTAGCAATAGCACTTAGACTTATATACTGCTTGACAGTGCTTTACAGCCCTCTCGAAGCAGTTTACAGAGTCAGCATATTGTCCCCAACAATCTGGGTCCTCATTTTATCATCCTCAGAAGAATGGAAGGCTGAGTCAAACTTGAGCCTGCTTAACTTTAAGCGGAGTGCCAGACTTTTTGGAATTATTATTTTACCCTATCCTTTCTATATATAATTCAAACTCTATCCAATTAAAAAACAATGAAAGATGGACACAAAAGCCAAACTCAAGAAAAGCCAGACCTACATTATTATCTTGCATGCTCTCCAAAAGATAAGTAAGGACAGTATCATCTGAATTTTGTGGGAGCAGGGGAATGCTATTCCGTGTGATAGGTCCAGTGATGGAGAAAGCATGTTTCTTGGGTCCTACTAGATAATTGAGTGAGAATCTACTGTAGAACATGTGTTGGAAGTATGCAGTACTGTACCTTGAGTGTACATATAAAATACAAGATTATGGTTTACCTTGCCTGCTGGGTGCCCGTTGCCGGTCTTCACCACACAGATCTGTAATGTGCTGGCTCTGGTAGTATGTTTGCTCTTTTCCCAATGCTGATGCAGACTAAGGCAGTAGTAAAAATATTCTTCATGCAAACTTTACCTTTAAAAACTGTTAAGCATTTTCAGTAGGTCTTTTTTTATGATTGGTCCAGGTGTAATTCTACCCAAACCCAGTCTTCGTTCATTCATCATGTTTACACTATGCTTGAGCATGAATGAGTTTGCATAGGAGGATGAAAGTAATGATGACCTTCTGGAAAACTGCATTCCTTTCCTGTTTTATTAACCCCTGTAATTCTAAATGACAAAGTTGGTATATTACATCTATAAAAGAAACTCCTCCACTTGAATCAGTCTCTCCTAATCAAAGAAGGAAGGAAGGAAGGAAGGAAGGAAGGAAGGAAGGAAGGAAGGAA